GATACTTTTTGTTTGCGTTTATCGTCAGCATTTTATGAGACGTTTTTCCGTATTCAAACCCAAGCGATTTTCATTGGCGTCAAGCAGAAGAGTATGCAAAATCACTCCTTGATGTTAGATGGCGCTACACAACTTTAAGCTTCTGACACCCCGCTTCTAACAAGAGGAAGAGAGGAAGTTTACACGCTTGTTAAAGTTACTAGTGACTCGAACAAGCATGGGTGGTTCAAGCAGCAGCTCTAGCGATGAAGAAATGATTATTGTTCACAGAGCAATAAGCAGCTCCACGTTCATATCGCCTCTGGGTATCTTCTTCAATGTGCGCTCTCATTGACAGTTTTGCGCTTGAGTGCCTCCAAGTGCTGTTTACTGTAACTTAAGCAGCTCCGTTCATGTGAACAAAAGTGCCAATCTGATTGGTGGAGAAGGTTTTGACGAGGCGCGTCAAAACAAAACAAACAAGCATGATGCGTTTGTTTTTTTTTAATGATGCTATTGCGCCTAGTGTTTTGCGCGTTGGTGTGCACAATCACATTGACGACCTTTATTTATTCACAAGGCGTTAAACGTCAACGGAAGATGCGAACAAAAAAACGTCTCGGTGTGCACGGGTCTTTTAGTGTTACTGATAACGATAAATGTATAATTTGTACAACCCATATTATTAGTTTCATTTTCAAATAATGATTCAGTTTTTCACTTATAAAACTTTTTCTTTGCTAGATGTGTAATTTCTGAAGAATTATTCAGTGGCATATTTTTGATGGCCGGCTGTCTCCACCTATTGGTTAAATAATGTAATTGCTCCCTACAACTTTGATTCTTGAGCATTGCAAATGATGATGATTTTAATCTTTACCATAAACATTGGTGGTTTTATCTAAACTGTTAACTGTTATCCCAGTAATTCTGTATTATGTGACTGTTAACTTCATTACTTACTCAAAAGACTAAAGACTCGATCTCTTTCTTGATTTTTGCGTTTTTCAAAAATAGATTTGAAAGCAGCGATTCAAAGGATTAATAAACGAATGCAAATTACTATCATTTATAATTTAGGTTGCGTGGGTGTTGAGATCCTGATCTTTTAACAATTGATCGTGCAGCTTACACTGAATGCATTGATGCAGGCTAAACGAGTAGTAACAAAAAACAGCTTTAATGAAACCCACCACATCCTGAAAAATCTACCACAACTTCTGTCATCATTATATTTTACAGGAAAGCCTAAATGCTTTCATACATGTGATTTGAATGACGTGATAGATGATCTCTCTGTGATAGTTACAAATTTAGGATCTACCAGTAAAAAAAATATATTAATCTGGGGGTCACATGTTTTCTGAACCCTGGGTTGTGATCCGTAGGAATCACGAATCAACCGTGATCTGTTACAAACCTAGAAATTATAATTTTTTTTCATTGTCCACAGAACAAAACACTGTTTTCTTTTGTTTGACTAATCTAATCAACCTAGTTAAGCCTTTAAATACTACTATATTGTAAAATAATAAAATATTAATATTAAAAACATAAAAGAAATCTTATCAATGTTATACAGGGCTTAGAAAATGTATATAAAACATCTAATTTCATTTCAATTCATTTGTATAGCATTATCACGATATGAGATGACTTGTGTTGTGATATGAGATTTTTTTCAAATCGCCAAAGCCAGAACTAAATAATGTACCTTGTTTTTATCCATGCTAAAGAGGCTTCTTCCTCACAGTGATCTTCTGTAATGTATTTGTGCTGGTCATCTAGTGTAGGAAATGGGTCTCTGTATAGACTTATCCATTGGAGTGGAATGAGTCTGGTCTCTGAAGAGCTTTTGGGTTTGGTGGCCATTACGTCAGAGCCAGGCCAAGTAGCTCCCTCTCGAATGCAGCTGCTACTACATATTTATCAATGAGCATTAGCTTTTTGTGGCCTGCTTCTCGCTCCCAGAGCTCTTATTCTGAACATGGCGTGCTGGATTAAACCCCGAAACTCACTCCACCGTGGAATAGCCTTTATTTATTCAGCGTTGGACTTTAGTCTCGCTAACCTAACTTACTTGCTTTGCCTCACCTCAGGAAACCAATCAACAAATCCAATTTTCATTTTTTACAGTGTCATGTTGAAGTGTGTAGTTTCTGCACCACTAGTGGCACCAAATGAAATGCAAAAAAATAATGATTTTTATTTAATTGGACATTGAAAAAAAAATGTCAGAACCTATAGACTCTAAGTGTGATTGCACTTCGGGCGACTTTATTATTTTACTTGGCACTGGCTTATGTTACTTTTACCTCTTGTCTCCTACTTCTTGTCTGCTTTTCATACAAAATTCTTGAAATGAATCTAAAAATAAACTAAACAGAAAAAACAATAGGGGAAAAAATAAAAATATTTAAACACTGCAGGATTGTTCAAGACACCAAAGCTGTGGTAAAAAAAGGATATTTATTATCAGGGTTTGTGCAGGTCTGCTAAATTGTATATATCATCATTATTATAAGTCATTATTCTAATTCAATATAATCAATGTTAAATCCACTACAAAAAAAAATCCTAATAATTATTCTACTCAGTATGTTTGTTGTCCAACACAAATACATACTTAAATCAAAGTGAATTTACTTAAGATGCAAATGGAAGAAATCAAATGTTGTTTACTAAAGAGTTTGTGCTTTTCAATTAATTGAAGCTTTTTACTGACATTTTTTTTCTTCTTGTTTTAATCTTCTTTTAAAATTTTGTATTCCTTTAAACGGAAAACAACACTTCATGTCCTGTTGTTGTTGTTGTTGTTTTTTCTCTAGAAAATGCATCCTGATTTTACAATCCTTTTGAAACTTGCTCTGAAAAACAAGACAATTAATTAAATGAATAAAAATCTCTTATTTCGTTGTGTAATTAGAGGGAAATTTGTGAAGTTATGTATAGTCTTTGAGAGCAGATTAACTCAATCGTTAAACATTTTTTGTTATCATTTAAAAATGATTTATTTAATTAAGAAAAGTTCATATTTTGAAGTTTGGCTTGATAATTCAGTTTATAGGACATTAAGCTTGGTTTATAAATAAAGCCCCGGTCCGATCACATGAATTTGTCATGATTTCGGCACTATTTCCTTGATGTAGGGTGTCGTGGGTATTCATGAACGACAAGTGGGCGTTGTTACACAAGATTCAATGGTTTCTTCTCGTGTAATATGGCACAGTCCATGACAACCGATACCTTGTCTGCGATGATTTCTTGAGCTGACACGCTCAATCGTGTGATTTGACCAGGGCTTAAGTTATCCATTCAACTGTTGTGCTCTTAAAATGATAGTTCACCCAAAAACGAAAATTCTGCCATTACTGCGATTTACTTGCTCTTACCCATATATATATATATATTTTTTTTTGAAAAGAAGATATTTAGAAAAATGTTGCAAACCTTTTTACCATTGTATTCAATATTGTTAGTTTTTCCTTCCATGGAAGTCAGGTTTCCTACATTCTTTAGAATATCTTTTTTTTTTTTTTTTTTTGCATGTCTAACAGAACAATAAAACTCAAACTGGTTTGGATCAAGTCTTGGGTGAACAAATGTTTGTAGAATTTTCATTTTCGGTTGAACTATTCCTTTAAAAGGTCTTAGAGTTCAAATGTTTTCTGCAAAACCAGCCGGTAGTGTTCCTATAATTTTGTTTATTAATATATCTTGCATATTTTTGTTCCACTTACAAAATTAAGCACATCAATTAAAATATTTCATACTCACAAGGATGGCTGCTTGTTCAAACTATTTTGTTTGTTTGTTTGCTTTATTCATAAACCACATTTAATTTAATACTATCATGTCTCCATAGCAGCAGACAACCTGCTTTCAGGGGTATAATTGTAGACCTGCAACTGTGTATATAACAATGATATTGTGTAGTCCTAGAATGTGACAAAGCCGCTGAAAAAATGCAAGATTATGAAATCGATTTAAATGCGCGTGCGGCTGGCTTTTACCATGCTTACATTTGCTTGTCACGACCACGTGAGGATGCACATTTGTTATTATCCTCTACAAGTCATCTATTCTTATGTCTTCATTAATTCAGTGCTACATCATAGCACCTCAAATTCAATACCTGAAAGTGTCATAAGTTAAGATGATTTTATAAATTTAGAAAAATATATTTTAGAATTTATTAAATCTATTAAAAACAGGGACTATGCTGAAAGAAAGGAAAAGTGAAAGTAAATAACATATTAGCGATGCATGATTAATATTTTTTTTTCAGGGTGGACTGTCAAATATATTAGGCTGCTCAATTCAACTGGACTTAATTTTATATTTTCAGTTTGGCTGTAATAAAAGTAGATTTTTAATAGTACAAAAAAATTAACTGTTAATATTAGTACTACAGTTTGAATTGTTGACTGACTAGTAGTTTATTTATCATGTTACAATAGAGTCGATTAAGTTACAAGAAAAGTTATATTCTCTGGACGCAAGAGAACTAACCAAGTTAGTGGCAGCATTTAGCGGTGGTGTGTGGATCTGTCCCGACATTGAAGTACAAAGTTTAAACCTAATTAATATTTCTTGGGTCACTATTAAACTTCTAAACATTTAAACTGATAAAAAGGAGGCGTCTTTTTTTTTTTTTTTGTCTTCGGCTGATCACATGCCTGATAAAGACAAACCATTCCACAGACGAGAGGCTGCAACAGAAAAAGCCCTGTCTCCTTTTGAATTTAATTAAGACTTGGGAACAACTAGCTGAAACTGTTACTTATTTAAAAAGAGTTGAATCAACACAATTCTTCAGTTTTTTTAGGGGGCACAACTTGATTGTTTTATGTTAAATCCACTTAAAATTGGTAACAACCAATAAGTTAACTTAAGTTCTCCCAATACATCGATAGTGTGGAACCCAGCAGTTTTTACAGTGCACTTCACCACAAGTTTGACTGCTTTTTTTTTTTGAGTTGTGGGTTCATTTCTCATCATTTCTCTCTGGTCTTTCTCAGAGCATTTTCAATAACCACTTGCTGGATGTCAACGTGAGATGGTTGGCTGTCCTGTATTTCAAGAATGGTATCGATCGCTACTGGAGAAGAGTCGCACCCCAGTAAGTACATCAGATTCTTTATCACCATCTCTAGACTTTTCTATCAAGCCAGGTACTTAAACTGAGAGATGAGGGATGATGTTCATTTCAGATATGTCTTCATCGCCCACATAAAACCATTATCACATTTACGTCAAAGCAGACCAGCAAACTCTTCAACTAGCCTCTCATAAAAGTCCGTTAGGAACATCACTGTCTAATGTACATTTACATTAAGGGTTTATTGTTGCGATGTTTTATGCAGTATTGACATAACTAAATTAGTCACCATTTTATGCTGAACTGCTTAAAATCCAAATTTCGACGTCACTTTCAGTTAAGATGAACACAGTTTCCATAATTATACTTCATTTATAGGCAAAGGGATGTGGTTCTGCATACAATGACTTTATCTTGCTGGAGTTTATAGCAGTTTCACTTCAGAAAACATTAACGCCGCTCTGTAGGTCTATTGGAGAAAATCATAAATATTTTTAGCAAGTCTTATAAATGTTTGAGACATACTCAATAAAAAAAATAAATGCACTAAATCGCACTTCAGCAGCATTTATTTGAGAGCACACAGGAAGATCTGCACTTAAGCAGTGTATATTCTTGATGGCAAGAAGTTTTGTGCACGAATTGAGGAAATCGGTGGGCAAACAGAGATTTGCATGCTCGTATTACATAAATGCGATCTCGTAATACTGCGCTCACGACATTTCTCCATTTGTCATTAATATATAACTCCATTGGTAGATTTGTGTAAAAGACCTGCCGCCACAGCTGGAAAAAAATCCTAGAGGAAACATTAAATTATAAAAACCATGACACTGCCTGGATCAGCACGGAGCAGCGCATCCTGTGTATGACCCCCTTAAGGGCCCTAACATACACAAGTGTATTTTTGCTAGTTTCAGCTCAGCACCGGTATCATTTTCATATCCTGGATCACATTGTTTTAATAGCATTGTGTGCATGCTGGTGTGAAAAGGAGGTGTGTTAAGGTGCATTGCTAGTTTGTTGCTTTTTTGTGTATACATTACTTATTACACACACACAGGGATGCGCAGCATGACACAAATATGAACAATTAAAAGATCGCAATGTAAAATAATGTTCTTGTCTACATAAATATAAAAGTTCATACTGCTATAATGGAATAGCCCAACTCCAACGCCTTGTTCACCTCAGGGGGCTTTCGTGGAATCCATCTTATTCTGTAGATTGTCTGCTTGCTCGTTTCAGCGCATGTGTTGATTCGTGTCCTTGCTAGCGACCACAACTTGCTCTTAAAGGAATCAGGAGATGAGACTCTGATTGGTTTAATAATTTTTTTGCCCAAAACACAGCTATAACAATCAGACACACCCCAAGTGCACCTGTGATATGGGCTTTAGACCATTCACTTACATTGTTAAAATAGAACCCTATGTGTTAGATATCAGCCATGATCTCTTTTACCATTCACTTCATTGATTGAATTGTTGGAAATTCATGCGTAATTATATAAAAATCTTGAGGGTGAGAAATAGAATAGCTATATAATACTGAATCAGGAGAGACAGTCTGGTACTAAGTGGGAACTGCAGGTTTGAAAGCCTCTTTGTGTTGTGGTTATGCGGTTTTATCCTTCAGCCCATGGAGGTGACAGACTTGCTTTAGTGCTTCTGTCACCTGTGGCCTCCAGAGAACATTTAATTAGTTTAAGGCTGTATTTTACAGAAACTTTAGTCAAATTTGAGTTAGCGAGCGACCTGCTGGAGCTTTTCTGCATCAAGTTTAAAGAATGCGATATGTTTATTTTCTCTTTACAAGCTTAGCTCAGAACAAGCTGTTTGTACAAAGTCGTTGTTAGGCCTGTCACAATCATTCATTGATTGCCTGTTTGCAGTTATTTGATCTAATCGCAGTTGTTTGAGATGACCGCGATGACTGCGAAGTGTCACTTTCTAGTAAAGGACATTTAAGCTCATAAACAAATGCCATTTAAGGATTAACATGCCTAATGACCAAAAATGCTATTACTTAAAGGCAAAAAAAATATTCATAATCGTGAAGCATTTTGCCTAATGTTTATGTTCATCTTTCTTAAAGATCAATGATGCTTGCAATGATATTTTTTATACATTATATATAATTAATATATATAATTCTTAAACATAAATATTAATATAAATGAATGCATAAATAATAATGAATACATTTGAATTGAGTTAGGATTATTTGATTAATCAGGAGACAAAAATATTGAATATCTTGTAGTTTCTATTACTATTGATTAATTTAATGTTATTTTCTATTCTAAAAATAATTAATTCTTTGGGTTATTGTTTGCCTTTTATTTCAGAGGCACTTGATTTGATTTGTTTACAAGCTACATTTTTCCTCTCACAATCTGTGTTTTTCTCTTTCTCTCAAGCGCTCTCTCAGAAGAAGAGAAGTCATCTCTCCGTGCAGGTCTCATCACTAATTTTAATGAACCGGTCAACCAGGTTAGTGGGCATTTACAAACTTACACGAGTACATGCACAGGCACACACATGCACGCACATACATGGTTTGTTCACTGACCATATTTTTTACCTGTACTGTTTATGATCAGTAGTCTAATAAAATGAACTCTCAGACGTGATCGAGCACCATTAAACTCTTTAGAGTCTGATGTGTGATTCTAGTGAAAGATCAATGAACTTGGAGTTGAGAAGCACTTAAAGTCTGTGGCGTAATGTGTTGTCGAGCAATTCTGGAGACATCAATTTCTTTTTTAGGCACTTCCATTTAGTGCTTTAATTTGACCTTTGAGTTTGAATAAAGCCTGAATCACTACGAGAAAAGATCATTGTAATAAAAAGCAGTTGCCTACTTGGATAAGAATCACATGGTGTTCGAGGGGCTTAAAATATTGAATGTTAATAAATCTATTTGTAGAAATCGAAGGCCCATAAAATGTATTTAAAATGTCTCAAATGCTTTTTTACAAGGTATTTTGTAACGATTATATAATATATAAAAGTTTGCCTGAATTTATTCTTTATTCTTGAATATTTAGCTGTGTAGTTTATAAAATTGATCAAATCCGGCTATATTTGACACCACACTGCTTTGCTTACAGCAGTAACAAAGGGAACCCCGTTATTCTGTTGTGCTCCCCCTGGTGGAAAAGAGTGAATTAGCATTTTTATCGAGTTGGACTGTTTTAGTTTAGTGCAGGTTTATGTGTTTTTTTTTTTTTTTTAAGTATTCAGTTTATTTTAAAGGACCATCCCAACCCGCATATATATATATATATATATATATATATATATATATATATATATATATATATATATATATATATGTATATGTATATATATGTATATGTGTGTGTGTCTGCCAACATCTTAAAAATGTGTCTTAGTGTTTCGTGACCTAATATATGTTGAATCTTTGCCTGGGTCATGATGTAAGTGCAATTGTTGCCTGTAAAATAATAACTTTTTTTGTTTAATCACAGATCTGGTTTTCATTCACTTTCAGTTTTGTCACATGCTCATTTCATTTATTGTTTCCTCTGGTTTCTAGAATTCTAAAATAATCTAAAATAGTTTTTTACCTCTCTAATTATTGATTTGTAATTCTCTTTCTTATGAACCTTTTAGAATAATCAGATATAGTTACAGGATCAGGGTAGTAATCGGGTAAAGTTACAGTCAATTGTCGCCAATGTTACGAGTTAAAATCTTACTGGTCATGAGGTCTTAATGTATTGAAATAGTCTTAAAGTCGTAATATGCTATGAATTGAATTCTCTGGTTTCTGTATATGCCCTAAATAAGCTCCAGCTTTTTTTCTTTTATAAAAAATGTATTACATGTTTTGCTGCATTTTAACTAGTGTCTCTGATAGTGATGGATTATTAGGGAGAATGTAATATTTTGATTATTATTGGATGTTGATGGAGTGTGGATGGTAAAACAAGCAATTATATTGTCAAGTAAAAAAAAATAGCGAAGTTTTTTTTCAAGCAGTCATTCATCATACCGATTTTCTCATTTGTTACATCGTTTCTGTCTTCATCAGGGATTTTAGATGGCTTTGTATTACACACTATTGGTTTATTATTGGCTAACGACTGCGCTCAATTCTTGTTTTGGAGTAACGTCACATACACATGAAAATTAATCGTTTGCTTAAATGAGGTTTCTTATTATAGACCATGGCTGACACTGAACAAATAACTACATGCTTCAATACATTACTGAATGAAGTAGTACACAAACTCTGCCCTGTTATTTCCATATTGAAGCAGAAATGAGACATGCACAAAAGTGAAAATACATAAATACATTCAAATAATATGTAGAACACAAATTGAAATAATTTACACATATTTTATCTTAAATCATTTCACTAAATTCAACATCAAGCGCATGAATGCAATTCCCAGAAACACACACATCATAGTAATATGCTTTGAATAGCTAAATGCATAAATGTATGACATTTTATATGCACAGAATGTACCCCTAATTATTCATATTATTACAAAATGGATCACTGCAATGGAGTATTTTGGAACTTTAGTCTAATTTGCAATTTTAATCTTTGAACACTGCCTTCTCATTTGCATTGAGCTTAAGATAATCAGAACAGATTACTGCCTGGCTAAAAAAAAAACAAACAAACAAAAACGAAGAAAAAAAAACTGAAAAAACACACACATGCACGCATACGCACACGCACACACACACACACACACACACACACACACACACGCACACACGCAAACACACACACGCATGTGCACGCACACACACACACACACACACACACGCATGTGCACGCACGCACACACACACACACACACACACACACACGCATGTACACACGCACGCACATACACACACACACACACACACACGCATGTACACGCACGAACACACACACACACACACACACACACGCATGTACACACGCACGCACGCACATACACACACACACACACACACACACACACACACACACGCATGTACACGCACGCACGCACGCACACACACACACACACACACACACACGCATGTACACGCACGCACACACACACACACACACACACACACACACACACACACACACAAACACACGCGCATGTACACGCACGCACACACACACACACACACGCACGCATGTACACACGCACGCACGCACATACATACACACACACACACACACACACACACACGCAAAAAGCTGTGCATCAAATACTGTATGCATGATATTCTGTAGGCAATGTCTCTGCTACAAACCATTAGCTAACCATGAAGGTATTGTTTATTTATAAATTCCTTTTGTGGTAGAGTAGCATGAGTCTATATGATGAAAATTGTCTTTCCTTTTTTATATTTAGATCATGATTCTCTCTCATTGCAGAATATACAACAAAATTGTAATTTATTAGAGGTTCTGACCATTAAATTTGCTGCAGTCTATTTGAAAATATATGTTAAAATTTCTTTTAAATTACTTTATGTCACAGTTGGAATTAACGATTCAACAGTTCACTCAAATGCAATATGGCAGGTGCCTTTTGAAAAAAAGCTATTAGGTGCATTTGACTTCATGCAGCGCCGCTCAGATTGATAGAAATCTTTCTTAAAGCAGTGCATGCTGGTTAGAAATTTTGTCCTGCTTTACAATGCGCTGACGCCAAGTGGCATCAAAGTACCACGACAGCACGCAGAGATCAGACGATTGATTCAGCCAGTGCAGAATCCAAAGTGGGACTGCAGAAGTTGTGACGACGACACTAATATTACACAAACATCCAAACAAACAATTCACTTTTTATGCCATCTCTATCCATCTTGTACACATCATGCTTTTTAAAAGAATTTAAATATTTTAGTGCAGTAGGCCAAATCATCTTTTTTGTTAAATAATTTGCATAAAAAGGCAAGATTGTTTATTATAATAGGTTTATTTTAATACAGACCCTTTACTGTATACAGCTCCATATATGATTTAAATGATATATTTTTAGTAAATAACCAAATATCAACTTCAAGTGGTTCAAGTCGAACGCACCTACTGACTCTTTACAAATGGTTCATGGAAACATTTACTCATTTGATTTATATATATATATTTTTAAATATCTTGCTTGTGTAATAAAACTGTAAACTGTCATATCTTAATATAAAATATATACAGTAATGTTTTATCTTTTTTGTAATATGGTAATTTTTACAGCATTCTAATGGGTAATAAGCATTGTTGTTTTTATTTTTTTTTTGTCTTTTTTTTCTGAATGAGTGTCAGAGGATTTTAACTTTTTAAATAGCTAAAATACTAATTACGTTATTATAGCAGGTGATAAATATTGTACACCCTTAATATTAATCAAACTTGTATATAAAATATTAATTAATGTCATTTGCTTTCAGGTGTAAATGTCAATACAGTGCTCCCTCGTTATTTGTGGCAGTTACATTTTAAAAAAACTCGCAACAGGCGAAATCCGTAAAGTAGTCAGCTTTAATTTTTATAATTATTATAGGTGTTTCAAGACTGCAAAACCCCTAACTACACACTTTATACACTTTTCTTAGACAGGCATTAATGTTTTTACACGTTTCTTTCATTTTCAACACTCTCAAAGGTCATAGGAAAAAGGCCAGTATTTTAGAATGAAACCAAACGTTCAGGTGCAAACATTGTCAGCAAAAGGTTTATAAGGCTTTTTAGCTTTTATGTGGATAATGTTGGCATCCAGCGTAGTTCTTTTTCCTGCAGTCACTGATCCACAAATTTAAAGCAGACTCCATCCTTACGGGGGTCATACACCTTATGCGCTGCACACATGACCTGTGGATGTAAGACATTCGCATGTTATTTTAAATTCAAATTATTCAGATAGTGTGGCAGAAATATGACCATTTTCTTGAGTCATAACTGGGCAATGAGAACAGCCGCTGACTTCAGGTGTACCCTGATATAAACCTATGTTTACGATTCTAAAATGCATGGCGCTGCGTGGCGCGTGTCATCTGGTGTATCACCCCCTTTACGAGGGTCTTGTTGTGGACCGTTACAACCATTTTTGAAACTCACACTGCTAGCAATCGAAGATCTATGTTAACTTGGCAAGCTAAATGCATCCTGTACTGTACACGAGACATGGAGGAAATTGATTGACAATGGATGCAGAACAAAATGTGCTGTAAAAAATAATAATAAAATAAGCATGTCAAATTGCACAAAAAACAATCTGAGAAACTGCGATGCCGCACCGTAAAGAGAATTTAGTAAATTGTAGTTAGTAATTTGTGGTGAATATGGTTTCTTTCTGTAAACAATTTTACACTTTTATTATCAGAATGTAATATTTACTTGCTTTTAAATTTCATGTAATAAAATCAAATATGCTGGCCAAGTCTCTTCCTTCATTACAACCAAAGAAACCAAAGAGCAGTTCATTAATTTAATTGCTGCTTTAATGGTGTTAACACGTCTGCGTTTTATAGATTGTGAATTCATTAAACTAATTAAAATGGTTAATTAAAATCTCATAACCATTTAAGACATGTTTGAAAGACCTAAATGCCCACTATTCATTCCGTTCACATAAAAAAAAAAAACTATTGATAAATCTTGCTAAGTTGAATGGCTGCTATGATTTCCAGTAGCTGGTATGTTCTTGAAATCCCTGTAAACTTTTTTTTTTTCTTTTTTGAATGCAGATCGCCACACAGATAGCAGTGCTGATCGCAAAAGTGGCACGTCTGGACTGTCCTCGGCAGTGGCCCGAGCTGATCCCTATTCTGCTGGAGTCTGTGAAGGTTCAGGACAGTCTGCAGCAGCACCGAGCTCTGCTCACCTTCTATCATGTCACCAAAACCCTGGCCTCCAAACGCCTCGCCACTGACAGGAGACTCTTTCAGGATGTGAGTCATTTTCTGCTCTGCATTCGTCTCTGCGGGTTTTAAATCTTGCATGAGGCATATTTTTGTAGGGATGATATCCAGTGCAATATTGATTCATGTGCAAATTGGTTTATTATTTAAAAAAAAAAGAGACATGAAACTGGTACAAAGTGGGAGTTTGATTTCTTGGGGCAGTGTTGAAATATGTAAAGTTTAAATATATATGTAGTTTGTAGAATATGGAATCAAAATTGTTGTGGAAATTTTAACAGAAGGTGATTAACAATTTCATTCATTCATTCGTTTTCCTATGGCTTAGTCTCTTTATTTATCAGGGGTCATCATAGCAGAATTCTAGCATATGTTTTACACATCGGATGCCCTTCCAGTTCCAGCCACAACCCAGTACTGGGAAACAACTATACACTCACGCATTCACACAGACACTTATACACTACAGCTAGTTTAGTTCACCCAATTCACTTATTCTGCACTTCTTTGGACTGTCAGAGAAATCGGAGCCATCAGAGAAAACCACCGTGAACATGGGGAGAACATACAAACTCCACACAGTATTGCTAACTGGCCCAGCTGGGACTCAAACCAGCAAACCTGCTATTAAGCAACAGTGCTAACCACGGATCCACCGTACCAGCCTTTGACTAAAATTAAACAATTTTATTTAAAAATTAACATATTTTAAAACAAAAAGCAATTGGCTGACTAGAAGCAAGTATTGTGTGAAGTGTCATAAAAATGTAAACATAGATGGACTCATAATGCTATTGACCTATTAGAATCAAGTGTTACTTCTAATGTAGAAAAACTAACATACTGTATTAGAGAGCAGAATGTGACTGACCAATCAGAAGCAAGTATAACCTGGATAACCTAGGCTACTAAGGCCAAGTTTACACTGTCTTGATGCCCAATTCCGATTTGTTGTCTATATCAGATTTTTTTGCCTGTCTGTTTGCACGTTCTTTTAATTGTGTCCCATATGCGATTTATTTTGTTTAGACTTGCCATACAATTCACAATGTCGCGCATGCGTAAAGTTGGGTTCTAGCATCTGCGCCTCACTAACCACGATAGAAGATATTATTTCGCCTAACTTTAAAATGATTTTAAGGCGAAGCAGGGAAAGGGCCGTCATCGCAGCTTGCGCCTATGGTTAATATATGTTGTTCTTCACCATTCAGAGAACTTTGTGAGTATGAGAGAGATTTCAGGTCTGGTGGGAGCATATTGTAGTGGGTTTTAATGAGGAGTAATTGGTCCGAAATTTTAGGATGAGCACACACATGCTCGTCCTTCTACATCATTTAACTGCGGAGAAGTACCACATTGACTATGTTTACATGGACACCAATAATTCGATTGTAATGCGATTAACACAATACTCTGATTAAGAGTCTACCATGTAAACAGCGATTTTTGATTAATTAAATCAGATAAAGGTCATAATTGAACTAAAGAGAAATCAAATTAAGACGTGTGGAGTATGCCGATTTTAGTCGCATTATTAAAGTGCATTACAGACATGTAAACACCTTAATCGAATTATTACCTTCATTTACGCAGCGATTTGCGACAGGATAGTCCACAAACAGACACACACGCGTGCAGCTTTTTGACATTCCCTGCACCTATAGTCAGTGCAGACTACAGACACCTGCATCATGAAATGCGAAGGTTTTTTTCTTCCATTCAGCATGCGGTATGAACTTCCATTAAAACTACACTCCAGCAGCTCATAGATGCATCAAATAACTTGTTTGTCTTAGAGGGCGTGCATGAAATGTTCATGAATGAAAGTGGCAAACTGCAGTTAAAGTCCACAAATTAAAAATGAAACACCTGAAGTTACATAAAACTCCCAAGGAAATGCGGATAGCGCAGTGACGCAATGACGTTAATCTAATTATGTGCTTTAACATGTAAAACGGGATCATGAAAGCAACATTCAAAAAGCAACTCATGTAAACACCTTGATCATATTATTGTCTTAATTACATTAAAGCAAATAATTTGATTACTGATGTCCATGTAAACGTAGTCATTGTTGCAAGTTTAATGGCGTACAAAACAGAATGCCTCAATAAATGTGACTATCATGTAAACGGGAAGGTCGGATTGCACACATGCCATTTATATCTAATTTATTTCCACAAATAAAGGAGGCCTGAAACTGATCTTTGAATGAGCTCTGCATGCTATTTTTTTATTTATTTATTTTTTACACGGTCATAGAACAGATCCGATCTGTGTCACATATGAGCAAAAAATCAAAAATGGGTCACATTTAACTGGCAGAAAAACAAAACAAAACAGCAGCGAAGAAACTCGACACAGAGGAACATAAAAACATACTGCCAGCTAGAGTGTTAAAAGTGTTATTGCAGAGCAGCACAAACAGCATGCAAAAGTATAAACGTATGGTTATGCGCAAGGCAGGTGCCATAGGCCATACCGATCATTTAACGCTGAAGTATAAACAAGCCATAAGAGTAAACAGCAGAGTGAGCAGAACTCTATCAACACACCATATTTGGTTAAGAGAGGAGGTTATGATTGGAAAATTTGTGGTTGGGAAAATTACAGTTGAGAATGTTAAATGATAGATGATCGCGAAGAGACGAGACCGCAACAGAGAGAAATTCAGAGCCCCTCCAAATTTAGTAAGCAATTTAAAACAGATTTAACAGAGTTAAAGTTGTTGAAAAGAGGCAACAGCCCCAGAAACTGTCGTTGGATTGAGAAACCATAACTGAATAGACTATTCGTTGTTGAAGTGAGAGTGGGAGAGAGTAACTGTTGTCAGCTGACGTCTGAATAAGAAACAGACGTGGCGGAACTTGTAAGCAGATACTGATGTGGATCTGAAGAGAATTTGCTAGAGTTTTTAGAATTTCTTAATACAGCATCATGGAAAGTTACCATTTTTAAAAGAAAGGAAACAGAATACAATCTGGATCAAGTCTTTATTATAGCACGAGTGACCACCTTGGCCAGTTGACCAATCGGAGGGAAGTGTTCCCAGAGAGTCAAAAAAATTATAGCTTTCTAATATAAAAATATACAGTTTTGAAGCTAAAATATTATAAATATTGTTATTGACCAGCCTATGTTGTGGAGAATCCCAATTTTATTGAAATGTTGATGTTGGTAATTAAATTAAAATTGTATAATGTGATAAGAAAACAATTTTATTAAACAAATGTACTTTTTAACATATGTACCAAACAAAGAACAATAGTAACAATGCTCATTCTTATTTAGGACTGATAGAAACTGAAAAATATTCACATTGTATATTTTTGAGCAAGTAATCTTGACATGACATTCAGATGTTAGGTTGCTTTTATTCCACACAGATGCTTTTCTTGCCATCTTATTACTTCTCTATTTTCCCTACCTTCTATGATTAGAAAGCATCTTTGAGTGACATGTGCTGTCATTCTCTATGTTTGCCACAAGCTTATACCTCTAGGAGGCACTGTTCAGCTTTGCACACACACACACACACACACACACACACACACACACACACACACACACACACACACACACACACACACACACACACACAAACACACACACACACACACACACACACATACACACACACACACACACACACACACACACACACACACACACACACACACACACACACACACACACACACACACACACACACACACACACACACACACACACACAGCCTTTGCCCCACTTGACTGAGCATCCTGGGAGATGCATGAGCACTCCTGTGTGAAATATCAGCAGATGTTTTGACTTGGAGTTGCATCGCATTTTCCCCCTCCTCTACATTTTACTGATGTTCAGACTGGCCGCTAGAACTGCAGATATAAGACACCTGTACCTTCCTAGTTGCAGGAAGACTCATAATTCTGACAAGTGATTTATCGCTGGCATTTGGTCATGTTAATGCTGATCCTTTCTTTTCCAATTAGAAATCGTTTTCACTTGACCCCTGAAATTTCCTTTTTTAACACCACAACCAGCTGACGGTGAAGAGCGTCCACAGAACAGCGCTTCCCAAATAGCAATAGGTCTTACATTTTGTTTTGTTTTTTAAACTTGTAACAAATCAATCAGAACATTATCTTATAAATAATTTTGTTATTAAGCTGAATGTTTTCACAAAAGTTCCTCATGAACACTTTAACACATGCACCTCATTGAAGGAAAATGCTTGGTAATTTTGTTTTTCATCTACAGTATTTGTAGTTTTAAGAGAGTTACTGAAATATTAAACACTTTATAATGGTATGATAACCTTGGATAAAAGTGTCACGGTTTCATAGTATTGTGGTTACTGCTCTAAAATATATTCTTTTTAAATGTCTGGGTAAAAACAAAAACTTTTCTGCTTTAAACACAATGGCTGTGTGTCTGAAATCACATACTTCCATACTATATAGTATGCTAAAAACAGTATACGAGCCGAGTGGTATGTCTGAAGTTATATAATTTGAAAAACAGTATGTGAAAAGTATCCGAATGGCCTACTACTTCCAGTGAAATTCCGAAGTGCACGTCCAATGGACACTATGCTAACCAGTGATGCACTGTGAAAATTCATCAATGGGAGTGTAGCGGGTAGGTCATGTGATGATGATAAAAATGGCATACATAATATGTCCAAGCTCCATTCATACTAGGGCTGGGCGATTTGGCCTAAAATCAAAATCTCGATTAATTTAATTTTATTTAATTTTAATTTATTGACCTCAGTTTATAGACAAATTTAGTAAATATGCCCACATATTATGAGAGCTACTATCTATGATTATTTATTGAACAACTGAAATTGAAACACAGAAAATAAGTCTAGAAACACAAACTAAAAACTCTTATTGACATAATTTCAAGGATTTGCATAAATAGAATAGAAAATTTCAAGGCTTTTACAAAAAAATAAAACATGTCATCATGCACTTAAAAAGCATTTAATGAATTTAAAAAAGCATTTAATCAGAATTTTTGTCTAT